TAATCATTTAGCATCTATTAAGTGTATAATAATAAAATTCAACAGGCGCGTGATTATTTTGTAAGTAAAGAACGATCGAATTTACCAGTTAAAAATTCTTAATTTTAACGGTTAATTAAACGGTTAAAGAATTTTTGCTAAAACGTTCATTTTGTAAACTCGATTTGCAAGTTCATAGATCTTGTCCAACGCTCACTTTGATCAAATCCGCCTATATGATTATTTAATGATTGATAAAGCGTCCATTAAATATATTTTACAAACAGCTTCATAGATCTCAACTTTAATACTTACTTTGACCAAACCCACCTATATAATTATTGAATAATAAAACATTCATTTTGGAAAACTTGATTTGCAAATAGATCTTGACTTTAGCACTTATTTTAATCAAACCTACCTATATTTGAATTATTGATAAAATATTCATTAAAACAACTTCTCAGATCTTGCCTTTGACATTTATTTCAATCACTCCTATACAAAATATTGAATAATTGATAAAACATTCATTTGCAAAACTTGATTTGCAAACTTCTTGATCTTGTATTTAACACATACTTTGATTGCGCCTATACAAACTATTGAATAATTGACAAACGTTCCATAATTTTTATTGTAATCTAAAAAAAAAATAAAACAATTCAATAGAATAAAAATTTGTCCAATGAAACTGTATATATCCCACGTACAACTTGAAATATAAGGCTCATTTTTCCATTAATAGTGCTTGTCTCGGGGTAAGACATGCAATGGCTCGCTTAAATGTGTTATTAAAGTCCAGCGAGTGAGAGAATGGAACTCTTGCTGGTGGCTCATGCTGGGTGTATTAACCATTCGTGACATACCTCTCTCTTTTGTTAATTTTTATTGTTTATTTTATTTAGAAGAAGCATTTAAAAAAAAAAGAAAAGAGAGATAAAATTCGTTAATTAGTAATATATGAAATCCATCAATTATGAGAAGCGTTATTATTATAGCAACAAGTAGCAAACAACAATGAATCATCATTTTTTTGAGGATGACTTGTTCCATGAAAATATTCAAGTTTTTCAAAAAAAAAAAAGTGGGGACGGCTGCCCTATTTATATGTTTTGGATTTACAAAATAGACTACTGTGTCTTGGCCCGAGTGATGTCATTTTATTTGCTCTTTGCGACGAAGAAGATTCAATCACAAACCCAACTTAAAATAAATGAATTTTTGTTCTCGCGTAACATGGTGTGCGTGATTTGTAATACGAAAACCATAAGCTCGCATTGCGTTCTCAGTTGCGAGCTTGTTTCTTACTTGTGTTAATGATAGCAAAAGTATCAAGAAAAAAAAAAGTTTAATGGTTTTTCTTGCTAATTGTTATTCTAATTTTAACCGCGTCACAAAATAAAAGTTTAACTGGCTAGCATTCCAATACATATCAATATATATTATACATACTTATTTATTACAATTAGATTAATTCGCCATCCTCACAACTAACCAATTTGCCAAAAATCCCAATTTTATTTATTGATCTTTCATTATATTTGTACCTTATAAAACCATTTATTTGGAAATTAATATTAAATACAAAAAAAACCGGATTGAACGTCAATTAGTCGTTTTTTCGATTTTATAAATCTTTCAAATTGGGAATTTACTTATATGGATATATTTAGACAGCTACAGAAAAATAAGCAAAAATACCGATTAGCCTTTTAGTAATTGATATCCATAAAAAATAAATAAAAAAGAATGGAAGAGTGTCGTTGAAAATTTATCGAGAAACAAATTTTTATATTATATAAAATATTTTTTTATTTTTTATTTTTTTTTTAAACAAGTTTTTTTAACTTGGTGTCTTTTTTTCTTACTTTTATAAAACATTTTACAAACATGCAGTTAATTAACGACGTTTTTTCATCTTCTTCATCTTCTTCACTTTCTAAACTCCAAAATGAACTATTATTAATAATATTTTCAAATCTTGATGTCGAAACACTGATAAGTTTATGCAATGTTTGTCAAAACTTTAAAAACTTGGCTAAAATTGTTTTAGAGGAAAGATTGAAAAAGCACAAGACTGGTTTAACTCTTCATTTTGGACAAGGACGACATTGGAGATTCAATGTAGATTTTATTTTTGATTGCGTAAATCAGCAAAACGGAAATTTCATTTTCAAACCTATAACAAACGGTAAAGACAATCATAAGAACGATATTAAATTTCATCATTTAACATTCTTACGCAAACTTACATTATGGAAAGTTACTCTTCACGACAATTTCAACAGCAATGGTAAAAAAGGCGAAAATTCACAAGCTTATATTAATTTATTGCAAAAACCATGTTAGTTGTCGATAAAATCGAAAAATCAAACTTTCCAACCGTTTATAGGATCGGCAACGGTTCAAATCATCTTAAAGTTCCATACAAATTCACCTATTCAACCAAAAACGACGATTCATCGTATAATAAACCTTTTGTCATTCGAATGTTCACCTAGTTTCTTTCATCCACAAAAATCAGAGCCAATATACAGCTCTTTGAATTTTATGTTCTGCATCAAAAGATTAGGTGGTTGATAAATCTACTAGACTCAACATCTCATAAATTATTGATGTCAATTACAAAGTATAAACCAACTTTAAAACAATCCATCTTTATCACAAGTAAATGGGCTCGAGGTGCAAGACGTTAATTTTATTTATTGCTTTATTTCTTTTTTTTGAAAAAAATAATTTTATTATGCTTTGATTAATTTATCATATAATATGTAAATAGTAAACATTAGATTTAAAATAATCAATTATTCAGAATTGATATTATTAAACAAGTTTACAAATTTTAAATGCATGTATATACATTATTATTATTAAATGTGGGGGTTATCTAGCAAAATATATCTTAAGTGCTCGACCAAAATCGAGTTTTTTTGCATAATATATAAAAAAATGAAGTCTAAAAACTCTCCTCTTGTTGCGTCACGCGACCAAATTTCAGATATTCCCAAAAATGTACCTCACGTGATTTTAGTTAATTGAATAAGTTAATCCAATGAAAATCCTTTGTTTGTTATTATCAGATAGATTATCTACATTTAATATTAGAAAGTCACTCTACTATTTCATACCCGCCTCTAAGAAAGATATTGCTAAATATATTCGTGGATTAAATCCTGAATTTTGCGAGTCAAGGAATTTATTGGAAGTAAGTATACACCCTTCTTCAATCATAAAATTTGGAAGAAAGAGTACGATCATTCTTTGGCTGTTTGGATTAAACAAGGGACTCAAATCTCACGCATCAAAAAATTATGCAGGTTCTGAAGTTAGAATTATTCTCAAAGGGACAAATATTTGATTGCTATTACATTTAATCGAGTGCAAAAGTATGTGGATTTATTCTTTTATTGATTTTTAAACTAGCAAATACTTTATTAATTTGCCTATATATCATAAAAAAATATTTATTTATTATCAAAAGAAGTAAGTATATTTTTATTTAATCATAATTCTATTATGTTTTATTAATATTGCAGGAAATGACATGGCTACCTGTCCTGGTGTTGATGATGAACGGAAATGACATGGTTACCTGTCCTGGTGTTGATGAACGAGTTGTTGTTGAAGTCTGCCTAACAATAGTATAAACTATTATTACAAAGTTATGGCCGAAGTTCAGTAAATAGGAAACAATTTCGAAAATACATTGATTCTTTTATGCACCATTTCCCATAGATTCGTTGGTTGAAATGAGGTTTGGCTGTATTTGTCTATTCTTCGATTTAACTAGATTAGAGGGAAAAACTTTTTGGTCATGTTTTGAATAAATAAAAAATAAGAATTATTTTAATGATAAAATAACCCAAATTTAAAATTAAATTTGTATGGTTGGCTCGGTCTAAAGACCTTCTATTGCTCAAATTCGTGTTCATTTCAAAATGAGTCATCACGTGATTTTGATTTTCTTACTGCCAAATTTAGATATATGGTCATATGTACGTACTATTATCATGATCATGGCGCTCAAATTCTTTGGTGAAAATTTGAGAAAATCTCTTGATTACATTAAAACTAGAGACATATTCTGTCAACTAATGAAGCTATTTTTTTAAAAGGTAGGACAGAAAGTGACTTCTATACTTTTAAAATTTGCGCAAAATTTAGGAGGTCTTTAGGCCAAGCCAACTATATATTTTAAAAAACATACATCAAACTGTTCAAACTGTTTGTCACAAACTGCAAAATAAGATTAATTTATAACATATTATTAAATTACTTAATACGACTACTCAATTTTAATTATATACGAATGTGTATTAACATCATAACATTCACGATTAAATATTCACATTAATATCCCTTTGGATTAAGAAAAAATTATTTTTTTAAAATTTAAAACTGGTCTTTGAAAGGGCAATCTGGATATCGAAAATCTTTAAAATTATTTGATTTTCTTGAAGTAACAAGGCGTCCTAGCTTCTTTTTTTTCAAGTCGTGATCCTTCGCTAACAATGTGTATCAATGTCTTCAGCATTTATAGTGTGATTAGTTCTTCCATGATGGATGACGTCTATATCCTCTTCTATGACTTCTATTAATACAATACCTTGCTATTGGTCTGAAAACATTTTTATTAACTAAATTATTGATATTTTCGACTGAGATTAGCAGCCACAACTTTAGTATAGCGATTATTATTTCCTAATTATATAATTATAAGTTTCCATCCGTATTATTTTCCTTCTTCCACTTTTCATTAGGTAAATAATTGCTCACTTTCATTCTGATTTTTTTTTCCTACAGTTTATTTAAAATTTTTTTTTTCTTGTAAATTTCACAAGTAACTTTAGATAATCTTCAAGTGTCATACACCGAAAAATATAAGAAAGTTGCAAGCAGGCTTAGTAGTAACCAATAAAGGTAAATTGTTGTTCGATTAACTAGCCTAAAAGATTCTTTAATCCAAGGGCAAATTAATCCTAAAAACCAATTTCAAATCATAATAAAAAAAAAAACATAAATTAGAGAAAATTTTTTAAAAACCAATAATAAAAAACATTAAAGAGTCATTTAATTTCTTCTAATGAATCGATCAATTGATAGATTTGTATGATATGGTCACCATCGAAAGATTGAAGTTAAATATATTCTTCATATATTCTTAAAAGAGAATTGTACGTTGAAGCTAAATATATTATCGTTCCAAAGAAAATTAATTGTACATCGAACCCAAATATATTATTATTATACAATTTTGGTAATTCTTAAAACATATCACCATTTAATCGATCACTTGACCCATTCATTTGTATTATTATAGGCAAAGATCTCGTGCATAATACACATTCTTTAAATGGTAACAATGACACTTAAAATTAACATCATTTTATTCCCACCTAATACTGCCATCGGAAAATTTCTCTTTTTTTTTTTACTCTTATACATTATACATATCATATACATATTTATATATATATATATCACGTTTTACTTTGTTGTAAATAAATTTTCGATTTTTTTTTACTTTATTTCTCATTAAAGAAAGAATTGTTAACTTTTAGCCCCTAGTGGTAAAGAACAACGATATTCAAAAATATATTTTACAAGTATTGAAATAAACTTATCAGAAAGTATTATTTATTGCTGTTTTTGGTTTAGTTATATATACAACTTGCAATTATATATACTCGTAATATCGGAAAAGCAAAAATGAACGAAGTGATTTTTCGTCTGCCATTTGAAATCAATGATGATGAACTTGGTCCATGGGATGTTCTGCTTAGTGATTTTGCGATTAGAGATATGCGAGTGTTGGAGCCTCTTGCGATTAAGGCAGTCACGGAGAAACTAATGCAGATATCAAGCGGAAAATGGAAAAAGCACAAACTCCAGCATACAGTGGAATCTCACTCTCAAATCGTACCTATTTATGTGGCAGAGCTTCCAGATCATGATGGATTGAAAATTCTCTGGCAGGTTGATTATGGATTTTCTGTTCGTAACAATTCATTCATCCAGTATGTGGAGGTTTGGGCAGTCACTAAAAACCAGAAGCAAATTACGGATATCTTAAAAAATACAGAATTACTTCATAAAGTCTACACTTCTGAACATAAAAACCGTTGTACATTTCAACAGACCAACAAAGATGATATCATTTTACCTGTAACCTTTGGAGGTGAGGAGGTAACAAAGTCTACCGAGCGCAGATTGAGTAGTAACCAAATGGATGATGAAAATTTGTTAAAGATCCATGAAATGCTTACTACAAATAAGTTTGTTCCGTTATCAAAGGTAGAGTATGAATATGAACAAATCATTACTATCTAAAGATTTAGACAAATTTAACAGATGTTAAACGATCTTGTTTGCAGGACTTGTTTAAGTCACTTGTCAGGGGTGGCACTGACTTTACTTTTCAAGTATCTGAGCTTGAGCACAAAATTATCAACCATCCTACATCAGCAATTGTTGTTGGTCGTTCTGGTTAGTATTAGTAATCTAGTTCGTCCTTATAATTAGGGAAAGAAGCTAATATTGTTTGTTCTATTTGATACCTAGGAACTGGCAAAACCACATGTATTGTGTTTAGGCTTCTTGCTTCGTATCTGAAAAGCCATATCAATATGATATCATCTTCAAATGACAACGGTGAGAATTCTCAGAAAAGGCAAATATTTATCACATTGAGTGAAAACCTGTGCTGCAGAGTAAAGGAACACTTCAACAAACTCCGAGAGTCTGCATTATTTGCTAATGAAAAGATGTCAGAAGCTCAATTTCACGAGTATGTGCGTAGAAAAGGAGAGGAAAATGTTAATTTAGATGCAAATGACACAAAGCTTGAAGAGGAAGATATGCTGAATGACATTCCAAACTCATTCCATTATAGTAAACTGACAGATGACTATTTCCCATTGATAATTACCTACAAAAAGTTTATCCAAATGCTCCAGGGAACTTATGGCATTGATTTTCAGAATCCATCCAAACAACCAAAATTTAATGAAAATGATAATGATATAGAGAGATTATTACACCAACAAGACTTTATCAGTAGTGTGTCAGATACATCATGGAGACACTTTGTAGACTATAATCTCTTTGCAAATAAATATTGGCCTCATTTTAATGATTATTATAGGAAAAATCTTGATTGTGGGTTGGTATTCTCCGAGTTTGCCATTATCAAGGTATGTAGCAATATATAAATCACTACATCTACATTACGAAATTGATCTTCTGTGATTTAACAATTTATAGGATTACAGTTTTTTTGATTTTGTTAATTTAAATTCACTGCTGTAGTTTAACTGTAATCCTACTACATAGGCTTGTAAGATTACTGTATATTGATACCATTCATTAGTTAACTGTTAAATTATGACAGGAACGCATATAATGTTCTATTTCAAAATTTAAGCCTTTTTTTCTCAAATTTTCTTAAGGGCTCTAATCTGGAGGGTAAGCACCTATCAAGAGAGGAATATCAAGAAATCAGCACCAAGAAATACCCAGCATTTTGTTACAATCGTGGTGAAATTTATGACTTATTCCAAGAATATCAGAGAAGAAAGTCTAGAAATTTTGACTATGACTCAATAGATATGTAAGTAATCTCAGATGATACATAATTTTTAAAAAAATTTTTGATAAAATTTTCAAACACTTTTCTTTTAGGACTATTGATATTTTACGCTGTGCCAAAACAATATCACTTAATTCATTGCATATTCATGAACTGTATATTGATGAGTGTCAGGACAACAACATTGTAGATTTATCACTTATTTTAAAACTTTTTGAATTTGCTGACAGCATTTTTTTGGCCGGAGATATAGCACAATGTATTGCAAGAGGTTCATCTTTTCGATTTCAAGGTAAGGATGGTTATAAATAATTTATCTAACATGATCCTTCTTTTAATAAACAATTATCATGACAATGATTTAATCTTAATATAGATCTGAAGGCTTTAATACATGATTGGGAGGTTGATCGATTCAATGTCATTCACAATAAGCCTAGAAATAAAAAACCAAAACAACCAGAACTGTTTGAAATGAAGATTAATTATCGTTCACACAACGGAATCCTTAAACTTGCTTCATCAGTGATTGATCTTATCACTCACTTTTTTCCTGATTCCATTGACCAGCTGTCACGTGAATGTGGCGAAGTTGGTGGTCCTCGACCTATTGTCTTCAATGGGGTTGAGGCTGAACAATTCTATTTCCATGTCTTCTCTATGGGTGAGGGTACAAGTAACATTGAATTTGGTGCTGAGCAGGTCATTATTGTGCGTGATGATGAAACTAGAAAACGAGTGAAGAAAAAAATTGGTAATGCATTTGTATTGATATTGACAGTGTTTGAGTCCAAGGGCATGGAGTTTAATGATGTGCTGTTGTATAATTTCTTCACTGAATCACCTGCACAATCAAAGGTAAGATATTATGTTTTCTGTCTTGGATCACACCTCATTTATTAGTCACTTAATAACACTTTGATTCATATGTGCACACATTTAGTGGCGAGCAATACACTCTGCTTTTGATGATCATTCAAAAGGAATTCAACCCTTTTCTCATGAGAAGCATTACATCCTTTCTTCGGAGCTCAAGCATCTTTATGTTGCAGTGACAAGAGCACGGCAGCAAATTTGGATTTATGATGAGGAGACCAAATGGAGTGAGCCAATGCATAGGTATTGGGAGCACCATGATCTAGTCAAAGTAATTAAGGATGTGGATGAAATCAGTACTTTGCCCTCCTTGGCCAAGAAAAGTGATTCATATGCATGGGATCGACGAGGAAAGATTTTTTTTGGACAAAAGCAATATGAACAGGTAAAAATCACATTTGAGATATTCTGCTGTTATACAATGAACTGTGTAACTAAATATAATCAATCCACTTTAAGGCAGTTCTTTGCTTTAGGAAAAGTGGAAATCAAGAGAACTGTAAGCTAGCAGAAGCATATCATTTTCAGCAGGTCGCCAGAGATTCTATATATAGTTCTGATGATATCACTGTGAAATTTAATTTCACTCGTGCTGCCGAGGCCTTCAAAAAATGTTCACGTCCAATCCAAGCAGCTTCATGCTATCAGGTAAAATCTTTGTTTTTTCTTGACATTTTGAAATGGGGGTCACATCAAATAATGACTTTAAAAAATTGATCACATCTGTCTAAATACTAATTTAAAATCTACAAACATTCAGGATATTGATATGCATGAAGAAGCTGGTGATGTGTTTGTAGAATGGGATATGTTTGAGCTTGCTGCCAATTGTTACTCTAAAGCCAAAAAATGGGACAAAGCGGGTAATAATTTTCAAAAGGTTGAGAAATATACTGAGGCTGTTGATGCCTATAAAAGTGGTGGATTTTATGAAATAGCAATCGATCTGATGCAAAGGTAATCTTATCATGTGATATTATAAATGATTCAATACAATTTATGTTGCATATATGGATATATATTATGTCATTATGAAAGTATGATTTATTAAATTTGTTGAGAAAATAAGTGTAACATGACATTTTTTACTGGGGGTCAATTATTATATAAATTTATGGAGGGTTGTAAATTTTACATGGCAAAGACTTGTTGATGATGATCTGACACTTGTCTAAATTATTTTTAACAAGATACAGACAAGAAATTGATGAGAAGACATTTAGCCGTGTTTCCCGTCTTGCCAACATTCATTATCGTCGGGAAAACAACAAAGAAATGAGTGAAAAGGCTCTTTCTATTCTTCCTACAAAAAATGAACAAATGGAGCTTCTACGAGACCATGCACCAGAAGAGCTTTTGAAAGTTTTTGAGAAAAGTGGTGATTATTTCTCTGTTGTTAAAGAATTATGCTCACGTGGCAAGTTTGAAGAAGCAGCTGATAAGATCATCAGCTTGAAAGATATCAACTCAAAAGACACCATTGAGGCATTAAAGTCATTAAAGTGCTTCTTACACCTATGCAGGGTTAATATAATAAAAGATACAATGACAAATACAAATGCCAAACATGAAGTGATTAGGCTTCTTGCCAAGGCAAGTAATTTTGTCAAGAAACTCAGATCACAATCATTGGAAAGATCTGAGGAGTGGAGAAGCTTTATGAAAGAGTTTCAATTATACTTGGCTTATTTAGATGGGGACTTCAATAGTGTTCATAAGTATATACAATTATTTAGAAGTCGCAGAGAGCCTGTTGCTGAATTTTGTGCAGTAAATATATTTCTGAAAATTATCCCTCAATCAGCACAGTATTTGAATGAAAGATTGCAATGTCTGTTAAGGCTATGTGAATTGACTTTTCCTTTTATAGCACCACATCAAAGTGCTGACAATATTGAAAAAATTTGCAAGGATTTTGAAGATATTTTTTTTGTAAATGTAAATGAAGTTGAGAATCGCCCACGTGAACGGAAAATTTTTTTGGATAATCCACTTCTTCATATGTGGGATGAAATTCATCATGAAATCATAGATGATTGGCATGTTTATGAAGTGGATGTTTTGCACCTGAAAATGAAGCAATTCCTTGCTTCACACATTTTTGAACTCATCTGTGAGGTTGACTATAAAAATCATTCTATTCCAGATGTAAGTTCACACATCTGCCACTTTTTTGCATCCTGTCAAAAATCAGATTGCAGAAATCATCATGTGGTTCCAACACCACTAATTCTACACCAACGTTTGAAACTTGCAAGTCTCAACTATACTGTTTTTCGACAGTTGGATGTAATATATCGTCAATATGAGCTACTTAGAGAAGATCAGAGTGAAAGGGTTCTTGGGATACAAAGACGGTGGGCTGAAAAACTTGTTAAATTTCATATTCGTTATCAATCACCACAGATAAGCTGCCCAGAAATAACTCAAATGGTACTCTCAGAGCTTCCTAAACACACACGTTCTGGATTTATCAGACTTGCTCAAAATATATGGTTGTTTAGAGAGTCTGTGAATGCTGACAACTTTGCAGCTATGTTAAAATGCATGTTTATTTTGCAACAGCTGAGAGACAAATGGTGTATTGATAAATTTAATTGGGAAATGTCAAAAACAATAGGGCTTTCCTATTCTTGTGAATTGCCCATTGGTTTTGAGGACTATGGGTATCACCAAGCAATTCCAGTTGGAAGGCGACTTTCATTATTCTTTGATAATCT